TGTGGCCAGCAGGTCGAGGGAGGTGATTCTGCCCCTCTACTCCACTCTCGTGAGACCCCACCTGGAGTACTGCGTCCAGCTCTGGAGTCAACATAAGAAAGACATGGACCTGCTGGAGCATGTCCAGAGGAGAGCCACGAGGATGATCTGAGGGCTGGAGCACCTCTCCTATGAGGAGAGGCTGAGAGAGTTGGGGTTGTTCAGCCTGGAGAAGAAAAGGTTCCGGGGAGATCTTATTGCAGCCTTCCAGTACCTAAAGGGGGCCTACAGGAGAGCTGGGGAAGGACTTTTTACTAAGGCATGTAGTGATAGGACGAGGGGGGATGGCTATAAACTGGAAGAGGGCAGGTTTAGATTAAAAATTAGGAAGAAGTTTTTCACTTTAAGGGTGGTAAGGCACTGGAACAGGTTGCCCAGAGAGGTTGTTGAGGCCACATCCCTGGAGGTGTTCAAGGCCAGGCTGGACATGGCTTTGGGCAACCTGGTCTAGTGGGAGGTGTCCCTGCCCATGGCAGGGGCGTTGGAACTCTATGATCTTCAAGGTCCTTTCCAACCTAAACCATTCTATCATTCTATGACACCCAGAACAAGATGTTCCATCATCTTTCCAGGGATGGAGGTGAGGCTGACCGGCCTGTAGTTTCCTGGGTCATCCTTCTTGCCCTTTTTGAAGACTGGAGTGACATTGGCTTTCCTCCAGTCCTCAGGCATCTCACCTGTCCTCCAGGACCTTTCAAAGATGATGGAGAGCGGCCCAGAGTGACTTCTGCTAGCTCCCTCAGCACTCGAGGGTGCATCCCATCAGGCGCCATGGACTTGTGAGTATCCAGTTTACCTAACTGATCTCTAACTTGTTCCTCTTCAACCAAGGGAGAGTCTTCCTTCCTCCAGACTTTCTCTGTTACCTGCAAAGTCTGTGACTCCTGAGGGCTGGCCTAAGCAGTGAAGACAGAAGCGAAGAAGGCATTGAGCAACTCCACCTTCTCTGCATCATCTGTCACCACAGCACCTGTCTCATTCAACAGCACACCCACATTTTCCCTAGAAAAATCGCCACCCAGTTTAATCAGCAAGTTGATAGTCTCACACAACTGCAAAAAATTGATATTGTAACTGATAACCACGAATGAGAACGCTTGCTTGAATGCATATTGCATGTAAAACAAGGCCACGCTGGACAAGCTAATCTATATTGGGAACGTTTAGCCTGTGGATGGCCTGTATCGGTAAAGCTGTGTAAACAAGTGGTGACAGCCTGTTCATAATATCATCTGCGACTTAACAAGGGCCATCCAAGTAAAGCACCTCCCCTGCATATCCAAGATAAGAAGACATTGTATCACACTTGGCAGACTGATTACATAGGCCCACTCTGGCCTTCAGGAGGTAAAAAATACATACTAGTAGGCGTGAAAGTTGTTTCAGGAATAACCATGGCTACAGCAGTTGCAGCTGCCTCTGGGGAAAAAACTGTCTGATGTTTGAAATAGTGGTTTAGCACACTTCCCCTTCCTGAGAAGATTCAAAGTGATAACGGGTCACACTTTTCAGCTACAGTAGTCCAAGACTGGGCAAAGGAAGAAGGGATTCAATGGGTATTCCATATTCCGTACTATCCCCAAGCTAATGGTATTGTTGAGTGAACAAATAGGTTGGTCAAAAGGTTCGCTAAAACCAACGAACCTGGGTGGCACCTAGAATTGTCTGATGCCACCTATAAGTTAAATAATCGGTGGAGTGGAGATGGATGCCCAAGGATGAGGGCTTTTTGTGTACCAGCCTCCACCACTGTCTGTAAAGTACACACTAAACTAGGGGAATATCCTACAGGATTTTATGCAGGCCAACCAGTAATGATCAAAATGCCCCAGACTGGAAGAGTGGCAATGGTGTTAACTCCAAGCTTGGGAAGCAAAGGACAGTTCTGGGAAAATACACTGAATTAGTACCAGATGGGTGGTACCTACCTTTTAACTTAACTCTGTCAGTCAGCATTCTCTTTTGTTTTACTTTGCAGGAACTCTGACAGACAAATATCAAAACTAAATTCCTTTTAACATGACATACTCATAATAGGCAAATTTCAAGGTAAAAGACTTGAGAACTAAAGAAATATTTTTAAATAATTGTATTGGGTCTGGCTGGGATGGAGTTAACTTCCCCCATAGCAGCCCTCAGAGCTGTGCTCTATTTGTAGCTAGAACGTGTTGATAACAAATCAGTTTTGGCTCCTGCTGAGCAGTGCTCGAACAGCATCAAGGCTGTCTCCCCAACTCCTCACCCCCAAAGGCCAGCAGGCTAGGGTGGGCAAGAGGTTGGGAGGGGAAATAGCCAGGACAGCTTGACCCAAACTGACCAAAGAGATATTCCATACCACGTGATGTCATGCTCAGCAATAAAAGCTAAGAGAAAGGAGGAGGAGGGGGGAGGCATTCGTTATTAAGGTGTTTGTCTTCCAAAGCAACTGCTACGCATACTGAAGCCCTACTTCCCAGGAAGTGGCTGGACATCGCTTGCTGATGGGAAGTAGAGAATAAATCTTTTTGTTTTCCTTTGCTTCCACATGCAGTCTTTGCTTTTCTTTATTAAACTGCCTTTATCTTAACCCATGAGTTTTTCATCTTATTTTCTCCCCCTGTTCCACTGAAGGAGGGGGAGTGAGAGTGTGTCTTGGTGGGCACCTGGTGGCCAGCCAAGGTCAACCCACCATAAATACTGAAAAAAAATAGCCCTCAGATACTCATGTCATTTTGGTATTTAGTTTTGTGTGTTACAATGAAAGAAAAAGCCGTGAAACCAATACCAGATTTTTGGGCCCTCAATCTGCTTTATATGACAGGAGAAACAAGCAGGAAAGTTGACCTTCTGGTTTAGCTGGGAAGATGAGCCTCACATTAGTCCCACTTCAGAGCAATCCACATTTAATAACTGTGGCTACAAAGAATAAATGTTCAGAAAGGTAACCAACCCATTTTCTTGCCTTTGGAGAGGTTAAGGGTTTAGGCAATACAGCACACAGGCAAGTTGGATAAGGTCTCTTTTAGCTCAGTTTTCCCCCCATATACTTCAAATATTTAATAGGGATGGGGATATAGGCAGAGATGCTTGTTGATTCAAGTTGACATGGTCTAATCCTTATCCCAAAATGAAAGGACTGTTAGGTTATGCTCTAAGAGTCTACCTAACCATAATCAAGAAACATTGCCAATCCTGTTGACTTAAAAGTGAAAAACATTTTAAAAGAAGTTACTGAAGTATTCCATTCATGAATTATACTTTGAAAGGTTCTTTTACTAACCAAAGCTTTGGCCCTGATAAAGAATTTTCTAGCTCATATGAATAGAACTGTGCAAGAACAAGGTCACAACTGCAATTAGAAAGCCCTTTTGTCTGTCAAATGAAATACATCTTTTTCTCCTTCTGCTATACAGAAACTTTTCTATTCAGAGGAAAGGGCAAGAGTTTTGAAATTGATTTAGGTTCTGCAAGAGCATTCAGTCTTAGAAGTAATTCTTTTAATTTGGTCAAGGTTTCCCTATAAATCTCTTCTCTGAGAGAGAAAAAAGAGAAAGCTATTGACACTGAGGCAAACATAACAGGCCTTAACACAATACATGCAAACCAAAACCAACAGATTATAAATACTATGCCAGGCTTTGGGACAGGTCTGAACACAACAGGAAAGTACTTGGAACAAACCTTGGACAGGGGGGGTGCCTGCACTGCAGGCAACAGAGAGGAGGCAAAGGGCTGAAGTTACAAGACAAGTATGGTGGGGAAAAAAATACCTTGAAAGCCAAAAACCCCATATTGTGTGGCTCAGAATCCAGGTGTGGGTTTTTTTGGGGAGGGTTTTCTGGTTTGGGTTTGGTTTGGTGTTTTTTTTTTTATTTTTGGAAAGCTGATAAGACTACCATCTTGCTAGTAGTTTACTGGAATAGAAAAATAGAAACAAAACAGCTGAAGAAGCTGTGTATGTAACAGGAGGAAAGTAAACTCTTGGGAACACAGATGAGAGAGAATGGGGAGGAAGAACAGGATGACACAGGACTGAGGCAAATTTTGTTCTACAGACTGTCAAGTTGAATTTTTTTTTTATTTTTAAGTGAGAAAAGTACTACCTTTCCTCCCTCTTTCTCACTGGAAGCAACAAAACAAACCCTGAAAACAACAAAAAATATTCCACACAGTTGGGCTTAAAACAGATTAAAGAAATTAACTTAATGGAATGTAACATTTTATGGAGCAGATTAATTCTGACAGCTTCTCTGTCCTCTTTTTTTGTTTGTTTGTGGGTTTTTTTGGGTAAACATGGTCACAGTATAACATAATAGGTATACTGGAATAGAGCTAAAAAAGTTATCAGATACATAGGACTAGACTGCTGTGCATTTTACTATTAAAATCATGCAGGTTCTTATTGTGAAAACATTAATGTAGAGTCAGTAACAGACATCTAAAACATACAGTTGTATGGTAATCACAGAATATACTTAATTCTCTTGTGACAATGTTTGACAAGAGCAATGAAAATTGTATTCATTGTTGCAAAATATATGCATTGTTTACAGAAAAATACTTACATATATCTGGATCTTTACTTTTCTTTGTTTTGTTACTAAGACTTATCTCAAATCTATTAATATCAGATGAAAGATCACTAGGGGAAAAGACAGAAAGCCTCAATTAATACTATACTTGGCCAACATTTAAACTTATTCTAAAGTTATTTCAATCCTGAGTTCTTACAATCAGCCAAAGACAATTATATTAAAAAAGATACTTAGATGCATACATAAAATTCTACCCATGCATTTGTGGCTGAAAGGTGGCTGCCGTATAACCATGCATATAGTATTTTTAAAAAAGCATATTCAAAACAGTAGAGCGTAAAGAATCTTAAAAGCAATGCAACTTTCAAGTGAAATTCAGTAATTCAATAAGATTAAGACTTACTCAAAGACAAATTCTTCTGACCACACAGGGTTCTGCCCTTCCCTGATGTGTGTTTTTGCTACCTGGACACTGTTCAGGTAGATGTTACAATACGGATTAGTAAAATGCTTTACTGGGAGCGTATGAGCTTCTTCTACATGCAAAATAAGACTGCTGACCTAAAGAAAATAAACAAAATTTATTTCTTTTTTTTTTTAAAAAAAGAAAGAATGGAATTCCCCCCCATGTGAAGGCTTAATGTTAAGGTATAAATATTAAATATAAAATATGATTTCCTAATAGAAAAAGAAGGGAACAGGAATAATGGAACAAGATTTTAAGAGGCACCAGTAACAAATTAAAAGCAACTCAAGTAAATTGATAATAAACCTCCAGCACCATAATTTTAACTCATCTTATTTTTTATTTTTAAAAATATCACTACGTGACACTAAGATTTGCAAAATCTAAATTTTCTATGCATAGAAAATTCTACTGAAATCAAAGAAGCGTATCTTGAGTAAGAACCATGGACAACTCAAAACACAATGCCCTATTTGGTGCTTTCCTAACAGATTAGGGTCAATATGAGTCAGCAGCGTGCCCTGGCAGCCAAGAGGCAAACCACATCCTGGGGTGCATTGAACACAGTATAACCAGATGTCAAAAGAGGTGATTATCCTCCTGTATTTAGCATTGGTGCAGCCTCACCTTGAATACTGTGTGCAGTTCTGGGCCCCACAATTTAAGAAGGATGTTAAGGTCCTTGAATGCATCCACAGGAGGGCAACAAAGCTGGTGAAAGGGCTGGAAGGCATGTCCTATGAGGAGTGGCTGAGGACTCTGAGTTTGTCTAGTTTGGAGAGAAGGAGGCTGAGGGGCGACCTCATTCCTCTCTACAGCTTCTTGAGGGGAAATGGAGAGGGAGGTGCTGATCTCTTCTCCCTGGTATCCAGCGACAGGACACGTGGGAATGGTTCAAAGCTGCACCAGGGGAGGTTCAGACTTGACATTAGGAAATATTTCTTTACCGAGAGGGTGGTCAAACACTTGAACAGGCTTCCTAGATAGGTGGTCGATGCCCCATGCCTGTCAGTGTTTAGGAGGCATTTGGACAATGCCCTTAATAACATGCTTTAACTTGTGGTCAGCCATGTAGTGGTCAGGCAGTTGGACTAGATGATTGTTGTAGGTCCCTTCCAACTAAAATATTCTATTCTATTATAAACAGTAGATTACATAAAATTCCCTTGTTTAACACACTACACTGTTTTCTCCCTGTTAAAAGGAAGATATTAGTCTATACTACAGATTCTCAAAATAATAACACTTGGAAACTCCATTTCCATAAAACGAGAAGTGAACTCTGAAATAATTTACATTAAATACATTTTAAACAGTATAATATTTTACAAACTTCTGAATTGCATGCAATTCATAGCTTAATCACATATCTACTGATATCAACTGAAGTCAATTTAGACAAATGCAGGAAATATCATACTTGATGAGGTCAAAATTCCATTTAAATCCAAATATTCAGTACTAGAAGTTTCAAATGACAGTTCAAGAAACCCTGAAATTGATATAATTTCTATAAGACACTCAAAACTGATATAATTTCTATAAGACACTCATGGAAGTATGATTTTTGATCTTTATACATTTTATCTTCCTTTATCATTCATGCTTTTTATACTTTTCACCTCTCTAAATAGTTCAGTGTTTCCCACGCTTATTTACTTGGAAATTCTTTTACTCATTCCAGTCTATAACGAAAATAATTTTCTCATTTCCTTTATGCATTTTGATATAAGATGATAAAAACTAACTGTATCCTAAATGAGAATACCATAAATATTAAATTGCATCTATATTCTATTCTATTCTATTCTATTCTATTCTATTCTATTCTATTCTATTCCTTCACGCAGTCTAACATTTTCTTTGCTTTTGGAAGTATAGAATTAGTTCAGATGATCACTCTGTAGGTGCTTTGCTTTTGTGGCTCCCAATTTCTTCTGCCAGTTCATATATCAATTTACCTAATTTAGTTTGGTTCTTCAGAAGTATTCAGTGATCTTTAATAATTCAGCGTTTTCTAAAAAAAAGTTTTATTCATTTTCCATAGACTGATAAAATAGCTACTTCCAACATTCGTAGCATTCAAAGATACCAGGGATTCTTGATTCCTGTTATTCTCCAGTCATCACTGATGTAGCCATTTATAACTATCTGTCCTTTACCTCTGAAAGAAAATCTGGCCACAACAGTACTCTCAAGAGACCAAAAGAAATTACGCCATAATCACAGTTCAGTATGTATTTGTCACTGAAAAATGAATAATATGAGTTATACTAGTATTTTGGTTACATGTGACATAAGTCTGTCAAATCTGGTGAATTGTAAGAGTTAAGACAATACAAATGCTGAATTCTTGACACTTTTACTCAAATGTGGTCAGAAATTAATACCTAGCAAAGCATCTGCCAATTGCCTAAAAACATTTTGGTTTTTGTGTATATAAATATTATAATAAAGTGGAAGGCATTCCAGTTGGTTTAAGAAAGGTACTACATAACTTCAAGAAAAAGAAAGTACATGCATAATTTACTATTGTTGAAAGGAAAGTTCTGAGATATATCATCATAATTTTAGAACAAGGAGACAACCTCTCCCCGTCCCCATATCTATATAGCTTCACCTGACGTAGACGTTTATTTGATGTCCCTGGACTGTTTTTTCTTAAACTGCAAAACATCTGCAGAGCCTTCATCCAGTCCTAAGAGAGAAAGGCACAAAACAGTGAAACAAAATGTCAGATTCAGCTTCTTGCAGTAGAGCATAAATGTCTAAAAAAAAAAAAAAATAAACTGAAGTATCTGAAGTTGTTTCTTTAGCTTAAAAAGAACCAACTTGTATGCAATTCAAAGTATAAAAATTTGAATAGCAAAGCTAAATTCATATCTTTCTCAGTAAAACTAAACAAACATTTGCAAATCTGGAAGCTTCTCTTTTAGAAATATCAAGCATTACTAATGGATATACAGACCTTTATCAATTTTCCAGATTAGTCATATTGAATTAAATACAAAATGGTATATAAATGAAGCAAGAGATGGTTGCTTCTGAGAAAATAACAGTCAACAAGTCAAACTGTTCTGATCACTCTCCTCTATTTTTATATTGCACTCGTATTTTACTCCATATGTTTCAAACAAAAAACAAAGCAGCATTAACAGAAAAACACCAAAAAGTATAACCTCCACCCCCATTCTCTCTGCTCACAAATACATAAAGCAGAGTAGATACTTTGGAAGGTGGAAGATATGCTATAGCCTCATTATCATGTTCCCCCCCCTCCCAATTTTGTAAGCTCTAATGAAGCACAAAATTTAGGCTTTAACTAACATTCATAAAAGTGTAGCTCAAAGATCTACTACATACTCTCAAAGTACAATTTAATAATACCATTAAAGAAAAAAATATTTTCAGTGTTACCCTTTACCTGTATTTTAAAAATGTGGAAGGTAATGTACATTCTATATTGCAGCTATTCTCAGGTAAACCACTGAGTAAAGTTTTAGCTTTCAAAACCTTCCACAAAAGGAAGAACTGTCAACTATGCATCACATTTTTATTAGCTTGCTTTCTTATTTATATAGGGAAAAGGAAATAAAGAACCATAGAAACTCCTAATACTCTAAATTAATCTAAATATTTCCTAGATACAAAGTCATCTTTATTCCCGCTCCTAACAGGAAAACCTATCCCCTTAAATGCCAAAGTTTACAGTAGCACCACAGTATGCACAATGACACTAGCATACAAGGCTGCACTAATGGAAGTTCAGTCCATAGGACTAGACTAGAACTTGTTCAAAGTAAAATCCCTAAAGTGTAGATAATGTAGGTGCTGGATTCTCATCACCAACTATTTCCCTTACAGATCTGCTACTATTGCATGGTTATATTTGCTAATGTAGACATAGCTACCATCTGTGGTACGCTTGCTTTCTATTAGAGAAGGATAATATCACTGAACACTACAAAACAAAAAAATTACTTTTAAAGTTATATTTACCAACAAAAGCTCTCACCTGTGCTTGTTCTGGAGTTTCGCCTGCAAAGTAAAAGATGTAATGCTCTTCACTGAAGTGCTGAACTACTATCTGAAAACAGTTTGGCCTTAAAAACAAACAAAACAAAAATGTAGCATCATCACACTTGGAAACAGGAAAAATCCCAACAAGAAAAGTTTCTACATGCTTCAAAACTGCATTTTGGTTTGAATGAATTATGTAATTTCAATAAAATTGCACTGCAGTTCAACTAGTTTGTTTCAGAATCTTTAAGAAACTTGTAACAGTTTGTATTGAATATGCATGTACACTGACTTACAGTTGAGGCAAAATAAACCTGATAACATAAAAGACTTGTTAATGAGGACTATTCCCAACAAACATTTTAAATGATGTACAGGTTCAGCATTAGTTCCCAACTAATTAATCATGCATTATTTGCATGATTTGTTGTTTTAAGAGTTCAGGAAACTATATTAACATAAGGAATTCCTTATCTGAATGTGTTCCACAGCTCGCACAACCAATAAACCATGCATTGGATCACATACTAATCATTGAATACGTGTAATATAAACTTCTAAAGCTTTAAATGCAATTATAACATCTTCACCATTTTATGTATCTACACTCATTTTTCAAGAGGTATCAAAAATATTTTGTACTGTTACATTACAAGCTAAAGTGCACACTTGATTCACAGCCTCTTACATTATGTTCAAAGGAATTTAGTTCTCCCAAACACAGGGTTAAATGAAGGATCTTACTTCACTTGCAAATGATGTTTCAGTCTTCCCTTTCCCCCATCCATTGCTTAGGGAAATACTGACATGGCATTTTGTGGCCATGCCCACAGGAGGATTGGGGAGGAGGAGAGAGGCAAGAAGTAGCCAGGTCAGGGGCTGCTTAAATCATTTTCACCAAAGACATGCAAAGATACAGCCCTCACTATACTTCTGAGAAAAGGGGAAAGGTAGTTTTTACCACCTACTTAAAATATAGGAGGAATTTTGTCTCAGCTACAGTTGTTCACCAACAGCTTTCCCAAGCAGGTGCAACCATGCATCTCCTTCTACCCACACTTTTAGCGTTACTTATTATCCAACTACATTTTAACCCACAGTACAGTGTTTCTTAGAGGCAGCTTAACAGACAGTCACCATTAACCAAAATGTTCCTTGTTTACAGTCTACGCCAAAGCTTCCAGCATAACTGCCAACTTACATGAGGAACGTTTCAGTAGTTTGGTTTTCTGTTTTGGTTTTTTGGTTTTGGGTTTTTTTGGGGTTTTTTTTGTTTATAATGGTACTCTCATATCTATGGCTCCTCATTGCAATAGTTGCATAGATTTTTCAAATTGAGAAGTGTATAAAAATCAGACGGTGCAAGAACACGAGGTCTTTGCAGCTTAAGAAATGCCACTAATTTAAATGTGTCTTCACATTATCTCTGTGAAAAGACTTAAAGTTGATTAAATACTTTCAATAAATACTAAGATGGAATAACCAGAGCTTCTATTTAATGAGTGTTTCTATCTGTTATGAAAAATAATAACATTTGTAGGAGTAAATGCATCTTTTTCGTCTATATCACCTAGGATTGCGCATTTTTTTGTAATTAACAATGAAAAAAAAAAAGATGTAACCTCTTTCATCTTAGGACAGTTACCAATGATATCAGAAAGTGTTTTGATTCTCAACTACTTTGCCAATAATCAAATCACTTGCAGCTGACATATTTTGAATAATCAAAATTAGTACAGTAAATGAAACTGAAAATTATCTCTGAATCTAATTATCTTGTAAAAATAATTTGTAAAATGTTTGCTTATATGAACTAACTTACTGCTCTAATGTTGGTCTAATTCAGTCTACTGATTCTTAAATAGAAAAGCACTGATAAGTTATCTAATTTAGCTTTCTAATACCTATCAACAAAAGAACGCAGATCTTTTGGAATTGACAAAATTCTTGATCTTATCAATTCTTGGTTCAATAGGATTAAAACCCTCAATACAGTTCCTTCGTAATCTTTTTAATGCCTGTAATATGAAATGTGGAACGATTAATACACAATATTGAAAAATGACAATGCAAAAGGCCAAATCATTATCACATCATATTACATAAGAAAATCTTAAGACTAAGTTCTAAAATTTCTTACTTGAAGTTGTTGCTAGCAATCAAGTTGCCATAGTTTAACAAGTTACCATTAATCAATTAAAATCTGTCTACGCATGCTCTTGCAATCTACACCAACTATGGAATAAAATGCAATATGAACCAAGAGTCACAATGTTTTCATTTCACAATCTGCAAAAGCTAAAAATCACACGTGGACAGTTACCAGGGCTCAGGTGTCAAAAAAGCAAGTTTATTGTGCCAGGCCAACTTGTTCATTAGTATATATGCCGCAAACTAGTAGTTAACTTTACTGTCCGGCTGAGCGTACAAGAATTAAAAGCCAGTGCCCTACCTGCCAAATAAACTCTCATGTACTCCATAGACTGAACACACACTAAGGTCTATTAATCCTTTAGGTTTTGTGGCTCGTTTTTCACTTTCAAAATAAATAAGCTGGGCATCATTTCCCTCCAATATAAAGTACAAGTTTTTCCATCTCTTTCCTTTACCTGTAAGGAAAGCAAGTAAGAAGTTACAATAATGTTTTAAAGAAAATGTAAATTTTGTAAATGAAGAAAAAAGAGGGCAGGTAAGGTTTCTGTCAAAATACAAACAGAAGAACAATGTACAGTTAATCACACTTAAGCAATAACATCAGTATACATACTCGATTTTTTTGCAGCATGTAGCTAAAACTAAACCCTCTTCACAAATTCAAGTACAATTTTAGATAGTTCTCTAAACATTTTCATTAATCTCAACAGAATTAAGAAAGTGCATATGAGCTCTGTTCATATCAGTGGGAAGACTGTGTCTATACAGTTTGCAAAAAATATGTGATGCTGTAAGCGATCCAATGGCTATTTTAATTAAGAAACAGATTTCTCTTGACATGAGAAAATTACTCCTAAACCCTAATCAACCGATCAGCATAACAGATTGCATAACAATGTCTTGGTCCAATTTTGTTTAATATATTCATTAATGACCTAGATGAGGGGACAGAGTGTATCCTCAGCAAGTTTGCTGATGATACCAAACTGGGAGGGGT